AGAAATTAGAAGATGGAAAGCATTCACACCATTCACCTTACACAAGATGCACCAATTAAGAGACAAGCACCAATTTGGCCTTTTCCTTTGTAGCATATCACAAGTGTTGATGCACCCATGATAAACTTTCCAACAAAGGGCACTAACTTTTGGGGGGATAGGGGCACTCCAAATTTCTTTCACAAGAAAGGAAGGGGGAATGGGGGTGGCACAAGAGAATAAAAAAAAAGGATTTACAATTAAAACACCCAGAGGGATTGAGAGACCACACCCTACTATCTTCCCCCAAAACATCAAAGACAAGGCCATCCAGAATATTTAAAAGGTTCGATACAAATGGAATTTCTGATTTTAGAAGGTTTCTCACAAGCCCCAAATTCCAGCCCCCCCAAGGGAGGAGGGAGACCCAAAGAAATCAGACATAGGTTTCTCCTTTAGATTAGAGAAAGCATACAATGAAGGCAACAAATCTTTCAAGGGAGCATCCCCAACCCACACATCTTCCCAAAATCTTATCCTATTACCAAGAGCCAAATCATACCTGGCATACTCAAGGAATTGGGGCAAGATACCATGCACTACTTTCTACGGCATAGTAAGTCTAGCTCTTTGTAGAATGCCAGCATCCCATCCATTCCTAGCCAGCCCATGAATACTTGAGACCACTTTATGCCACAATCTATCATTCTCTAAAGGGAAAACACCACAACCACTTACTTAGGAGAGCAAGGTTTTTCTAAATGATGTTATCTATACCCAACCCCCCTCCTCTTTCCTTTTAACCACCTTTTCCCATTTCACCAAGTGGTCCTTTTTACCTCCCGGTTCCCACAGAAAGTCAAGTCTCTAATTAGTTTGTCTACCCTCTTCACAACTGCTCGAGGCATCTTAAAAACAGACATGAAGTAGATAGGGAGGTTGGCCAAGGTTGATTTTATCAAAGTGATTCTCCCTCCTAGAGAAATGTACTTCCTTTTCCACCCAGCTAATATTTTCTCAAATCTCTCAACTACTACACTCCATAAGCTTATAGACCTTGGATTGCCACCAAGGGGTAAGCCTAAATAATTCAAAGACCACACCCCTTTTTCACACCCAAGAATATCCGCAAATGAGTCAAGCTCTTCTTCCCCAACATTTGAACCAACCCTTGCTCTCTTATGCCAATTGATCTTTAGGTTAGACATTCTTTCAAAGAGGCCCACCACCAACTTCAGGTTTTCCACTCAATTCCTATCTTCCCCATCACAAAAAATCAAAATGTCATCTGCAAACTGGAGATGGGAGACCATCACTCTCTCTACCCACCTCCCAACCTTTAATAAACTACAATTGGTTGTCTCTAGAAATCAGCTTACTTAGAACTTCTACCACCAAGATGAAAAGGAAAGGGGAAAGGGGATTTGCAGGCTGAGAAGTGACTGACTGGTTTGCAGGCTGCCTTTAATCCACTTACACCATAAATCCCCAAAACCACAAGATCTCATGATATTAATCAAGAATTCCCAATCCACTAAATCATAAACTTTCTCCAAATCCAACTTAATTGCGACACCCTTTTTCTTAGATCTCCTTTGGGCCTCCACACATTCATTAGCAATGAGGATTTGATCCACTATCTGTCTATCCTGGATAAAGGCTCCTTGATAATGAGAGATGATTGAAGGGAGAACTTTCTTATTTAAGCCAATGGTTGTGTGGGATTAGGGTTGAGTGAGAGTGGATATTTTGTTGAGGGAGAACTTTCTTATCTCTTGTTCTCATAATGGATATTTTTCCCTCTCTTCCCGTGGATGTAGGCTATCGAGCCGAACCATGTTAAATCTTGGTGTTTTCTCTATTTCCTCTTCTTATTTTCTTCTTGATTTGTTGTTATGTTTTATGTTCATTGACATGTTATATGTGGGTAGTTGACTTTGAGTAGTTCTAATTTGTAATCAATAAGTAGCTTAAATTGAATTTGAACAGCCAAGTATCTTGTGAAAAAACTAACTTGAAGGCCTCTCTTCCACATATGACTTTTTTATCAGTACCAGCAATCAGGATTTTGTTAAATTTGTACAAAAGGGGTGATCCCCAACATTTCAAGGTTTTGAACTGGAGGTGGAGGGGGTGAGTACAAAACAGTCAACAGCTGAAGGCAGAAATGCAAATGACTAAAAACCCATTCTTCCCTATAAACTCCATTCCTTGCTAATGCACCACCCTTTTCATTTGCAGACCTAGGGGCTCATCTGAATGAGAAACTGAGATCAACAACATTTGACTCTTCTAAGGAAGAGATTTAGTAGTATACTAGCATCAGGTTACTTCATCTTCAAGATTATTAGACATGTGCATAAACAAAAAGGATCAATCACTATGTACAGACATGGTCAAATAACTTGAAGCTAATTGATCAATGGAGCCCCATGAATCAAGCCCGTGATGCACTAAAAGAAAGAATTTAAAGGACTGATTCACAGGAAGAGGGTTCAGATCTAATGATAGGATGAGAGAAAAATGGATTTGGGCCTTTGAGGAGGGTTTTCAGGTCAAAATTCTTAAAAGAAAAAAAAAATGCTGCAAATTAGCATTTTAGCTACAGGAAATTGTGGATAACAAATAAACAATTTTTGAGAGAAATTACAGAAGGAAAAGGAAGAAATCATATCAGATATGCACGATAAATAAGAATTAATGAGGAAAAAAAAGAACAAATCAAAATAGACAAAAAAAAACTATGATCCAGGTACATAAAAAAAAAAAAACAATTTTTTAGCCCAATTCTTGAATTTTCTATATCATCTGCCTGTGATGCTTCATTGAGATCCAAACTCTCTTCAACAAAACCATCCAACTTTTCATCTAATAAAAGCACACAGTCAATGGTCTCACACTAAGAATAACCACCCTTAGACTGTTTTATGAATAAATTACTTTCAACTGAAATGGTTTCATTTGGCTCCACTACCCCTTGTTTTACCAACCCACTCTCCTATCTCTGCCCCTCATCCTCACTTTGTTTCCTTGAACCAACCACCCCTTTGTCTGTGTCTTTTCCTATGACCACAACTTTCTCCCTCTCTACCCTAACTGCCAACCAATTTTTTTCTGAAAATGATAGAAAAAATTTACATTACTATATGAAAATGTTACAATATACTGAGAATAAACACCGTTTGTTTTACAAACAAATTACTTTCAACTGAAATGATTTCATTTGGCTCCACTACCCCCCGCTTTACCAACCCACTCTCCCATCTCTGCCCCTCATCCTCACTTTGTTTCTTTGGTCCAACCTCCCCTTTTTCTGTATCCTCTCCTTATGACTCCAACTTTCTCTGTCTCTACCCTAACTGCTAACCTCATTTCCTCCTGATTACCAATCTTTTTTTTTTTTTAAAAGGTAAGGAAAGTCTCATTACTATATGAAAACCAAATGTGTTACAATATATAGTTCCCTCTACATAACATTTTGTACCCTGAGACTGTACAACTGTATGTGATCATTACAAAATAAAGAGAAAAAATAAAGGTTACTATGATTAAAAAAATAAACAAGAGACTCCCTTGAAATTTTGACAGCCAAGAATAAATTGAGCCACATATTCTGTTCATAATGTCATCCTCTGAAGCCTGCACTGATTGAAAATCTAGTTGTTTCTCCCCTTCCAAACATTCGAGATAATCACTGCCAACCAACAGGCTTTTTTCCTCAAATCTCCCTGGCCTCGTGGAGGAAAGACATAGTTCACAGCATACTTCATATCCTTTTTGCATATGAAACTTGTCTCTTTTCTAATGAGAATATCTAATATTTACAGCAAAGGTATCAGCAGATATCTGGTTAGGATTTAAAGTAATGGAGCAAGGAAGACATTTGGGAAATTTTAGTTGTCCACTCTATTACTAAGACCAACATATACAAATAGTTTACAGTGGCTATGTGCTTTAATCAAAACTAAATCCTCAGTCTGTGGTTAATTCAGACAACATTTTACATCAGCAGCAGAATATTCTTATAACGAGTTCACTTCTGCTCCTTTTAAAAGGAGAAAAAGTTATTTTATTTTCGCTTCAGACTTCTAAGGCAGACACAGATATAATACTTGCTATATTTTGTATACAGTTATATAACCTACACAAGAATAACAGAATTTATTGGGCCCACCAATTATCTATATTTTTGGTTGAAATCTGTGTTTCTAGAAAGTTTTATACACATAACAAGGCCCTCATACCTATAGGATTCCTCAACAACCAAACCAATTGAAGCATGCATCAAATGGAAAATTAAGGATGTATGAAATCAAACAGAGAGAATATGAAGAAAAATGTGAGGACACATAGTTAACCACTCTTACAGAATTTAACAATCAACAAATATTTGAATTATTGTTTTTGTCACTGGTAAAAAAAATGAGAATAAAAAAATAAATGGATGGTTCATTAATGAAAGTTTAAGAAAACCAGTAAATGTTTCTAAATGTAAAAAAAAAAAAAAAAAACTCTATAATAAGCATGAAAAATGAGAACCTAGCAGCCTTCACAACTAAAACAGCATAGGTGCATGAAGATGATGAGAGATCCTCTTCTAAGAAAACCCACAACAAAAGGGAAAACCATTAATCTTTCATAAGAGGTAGAGAAAGCACAGGAACTAGAGGGGAAAAAGATCTCATCCACCAGATTATAATATGAAGAATAAGAATAAAGCACACTCCTTGATCAGTCAAAATTCAGCAATATTAGTTCTAAAAGCCATGGTGACCCACCACAAGAGAGGAAATAGAATAAGATACCCACCATTAACATTCCTTTAACCTCATCAAGTAACTAAGTGAAGAGAAAGTACGAAATAACACAATATAGAATGCCAAGAAGCTACATTTTGAACAATAGTAACAAAAATATAAACAAAACCCGGGAGAGAGAGTAACAAATTCAAGACATTCAAAAACAACAGGATAAAAGAAAAATGAAAGAAAACCAACAACACAGACAAGAACAATACTCACTGTCAGGGCCACCCAGTTGAGTAACAGCATCTACAAATCTCTCATGGAGCTCAGCTGTCCATCGTAACCGAGGCTTCGGATCGGTAGTGAGAACCAGACAAGCGTCACCAGGTAGATTAGTGCCTTCAAGAGATCCCTGTAAATCTTCATGGCCGACGCTCCCATCAAGCGAATGAATCCCAGAGTACATTTTCCTGAAAACCCAGAAAACAAAAATCAAAGAAAAACCAAGCAAAGAAGAGCAAAAAGCTTTTAAAAAAAAGAGAAAAAAATAGAAAAAAAAATCCAAAGCCTGAACACACCTTTCTGCTTTCTTCCGGGGCCAAGCGCCCCGAAAATCTTCAGACCCAGTTAGTGATCAGTGCCCCCAAAAGCTTTGCGAATCCAAAAAGGGGAAAGAAGGAACCGTGCGTGGAGGGAGAAAAGCAATGTGTTGGGTTTTTGTGGGTAAGAGACCAAGCAAGGAGAGGATGATATGTGCTGTCTGTCAGGCTGGCTGCTCTTTTTTTTTATCTTTTCTGTTTCTTTTATCCATGAAATATGATTATTGATATAAGTTCTCTCAGCTCTCTTTGGTGGTAAAAGTCTAAAACCAAAACAAAATTACAAACACAGAACAGACCCCACCCACACTTTGAGGAACTAGTTCCAGTACTCAAGTGTTGTTTTTTTATAGGCATTTTGGTGGTGGGATTGGGGTTGAGTGTGTTGGCAAGCTTAATGTTGAAATGGGTGGACAACAGATGACAGAACCAGTCCAAGGGATGTATGATTTGGCACTGGTAGTGGCGGTATGAGGCCTTCACTGTAAGGGCGGCTTGTGGGGGGCCTACCCATGTGGTACTATCTTCAATTATTTGATATTAATAGTAAGCATTTAATGGAAGAGAAACCTAAGTATGGATGTGAAGCAGATGGAAAATGACTTCAGTCAAGCTTGTGAGAATTTGTCTCCAGCTCCACTGTGATGGGGTGGTGGGTTCCTTGCATAAATTCTGTTTTGGTTCTCTACCTGCTTGTTTTAGGCTTCTTAAGGCCTCTCTCTTGAGCTGTACCAGTATAGTACACCATGAATGAGACTGTTGACTGAAACCTCATCCCCATTTGTAAAATCTGCCCCTCAGGCCTCAGTGTTTAATACCACCAACTTTGGTTCTTGGGTTCCAAACCTGTGGTTGGTTCCTCACCACACACAAAAAAAAAAAAAAAAAAAGAAGAAATCCCATCAATTGTCAGTCACCTTCAATCTAATATATAGCGGCGCATGACCCAACCTGATTCTCAATCTGTGGAGCTCTTTGGATAATTGTCCTCTGTCTGGTGTTAAAATCTGGTGATTAATGTTGATACATGATGAAGTTATGTTTGTGCCATGGAATGTGTGAATGTGATGCTCCAACAACAATTTTGAATTTATATTAATTTAGTGGTTGCTGACATTATAAGCCTATGGGGTGATTCTCTTAAAAGGGTTGTTATGAGTTTACGTGGTTGGTATTTTTATATTGGTTTTCTGCATGTTCTGCAAAGGATTGAGTTGTTGAAGACCTATCTTTTTACTAAAAAAAAAAATATCAACTGTCCTTATTTTGTTATAAATATCCCTGCAACTAGGCTCAAACAGTGTGTGAAGCATGGCCTGAACATTTTTTTATTAAACTGGATGAACCAGAACCTGTCAGAGAAACCGAACCCAACCATACCAATCAAACCAGGCTGGCCTAAGCACTAAAGTGCTGTCATACATCGCGAATGGTTGGATCATCGTTGATTTTTGATAAAAGAATAAAATAAAATAAAGGAGAAACAGAGAGTTGAGGGAAAGTTATCAACGAATTTGGTCTTTTAGCCTTGTAGGACTTCACTAACAAAGCCATTCATTTGCCAAAATCCTAGGACCTGCTGCATGGATTAGAGGAAGCTTTAGCTGTCTAATAAGTTTGACAGCCAGCTGTTGGGGATGTCAGTGGATTGTGTTAGGTGACCACACTGACCCCATACTCAATCGGGTTTCGGGTTGGATTCGGCTGGGGTGAACCCACATTGACCCGGCCTGTTGACATTGCATCCTTCAAAGTTCAAATATTAATATATAATATCAACTGAGGATTGAGGATAGGTGTGTTATATTTGAGACGGGGCAGGTTTAGTATCCCCTCTTTATTTAGTCGGGTCAGGTTTGGATTGGGGCAAACATGCACCAAATCCGACCCGTTGACATCCGTACCAGCTGTTAATAGGGCTCCTCCTGCGTGACAAATTAGCTCACCCAACAATGCATCCAGCACGGAAAACTTTTATTAGGAGTCTGTGAAGTAACCACTAACGTGTTATGGAGACGGGAGGGAGAGCCCCGTTGAAAGCCAAGGCTGTTAAAACTAAGACAACAATATTTTTTCCCTGAATAAAGGTGGAATTAGGGGGTGCAAATTGGGTGGGCTAGGCTGGGTTTAATGTCAACCCAGGCCCAACCCTAAGATTTGAACCTAAAGCCCAAGTCTGGACAGCCTGAGGCTAAGCCCGATCTTTTCAATCCAAATCTAGCCTATGCTATAATTTGATATACTGGACTTGAACTTGAATTCAGATTAGATTCAGGTTGATTAATCAACTCATTCTATATATATATACATACATACATACCCACGTGGAATAGGTCATGGCTCAACTCTTTGGATTTGGTTCAAACTTCAAAGTTCAGACCAAGAAACTCGACGCACACAAAATCTGAATATTAAAAGGTTGAGGGAGAGAGACGTCTAAATTTACAGGTCAGAGCAAAAATTGTCATCCCCGATCTACAGACAACCCAATGACCATTGCTTGATTAATTAAACCTTCTATCAATCATAAGAACTGGCCATAATTAAGAGGTTGACCTCTTCATTTGTGAGTTTGGACAAATTCATTTCATGCCCAAACATGCCTTCCCCTCTTGATGATTTCTAATTCCTCAGGAATAAAAGATAGAAGCACCCACCAATCCACAATGCCCACAACACAACAAGCCAGGTGTACCACATGGCACCTGCCCCACTGTCATCCTAACCATTTTAGGTCTTGATGTGCCCATAAGGAAGCCATGAATTTACATACTCTAGAAAATAGAGGACTTGGGGTTTTGGGCCCAATTTTCTTAATATCTCTTTCTTGCTTTTCTTCCTTTTTAATCTCTCCTAGACTCTTTTGGGGACCTCAGAATGGAGGGATGTAGACATGGGTGGTAGTAAAATAAAGGAAAATGAGGTTGGCTGCTTAATTCATTGGCTTTAAATGTTGACCAAAAACTTATAGTTTATCAAGTGGGGGACCTTGTCAAGCCGACCAACAAAGATTTTTGATTTTTCCTACGTCGTTTTCTTCAGCTTGATGTGTTTGTTTATTATAGCTGCAACTTTGTATTATAGATATATGAAAATGAAGAAAAAAAAAAAGGACAAATGGGTGTAGCTCATCTAGGTACATAGGTCCAGCCTCGCACTAAGGTGGGCTTTTTGAGCCAGGGAATCACGAGTCAGAACTATTCTGGGTTCTGGGGCCTGAGCGTGGAGCAGGGTGAAGGCCCACAGTTGTCAGTTGAATGGACCCTTGTGGTATATCTATGTCTGTGGGCATTGTGTTTGTTAAAAGAAGAAACAAAAAGAGTTCATTTATAGAAAAGGCAGACTTTCTTTTTTGGTTAGAGCCTTTGGGGTGTGGAGTTGTTGAAATTGCACATCTTACAGAAAAAGTGAGAAGAGAGGGACCCACTGGCTGGTTTAGCCTTGTACTAGGGCCCTCTTACCCAAAAATAAAAATAAAAAATAATAAGTTTAGGCCCTGAGTTGGGCATGGACCATCAGGCCGGTCAGTGAGTCTGGTTCACACTTAACCAGGCTGACCTGAACTGTATGACCCTATGTTCTAGTGGGTCCATTTTGGGTCCAAATTCTTGACGATAGATCAAGAACCGGGTCTACTGCAGACCAATAAGGACCGGCAGGTAACATAGAAAAATCACTTAGATGAGTTGGGTCCCATTGAGTAAGTTTAAGAGAATATAGCAAATCACATTAAACTTTCATTATACAAATTGAAGCACCTATACAAATCAAGGTTCAAAATATTATCACGTATTGGCCCATATCGGCCGATATGTATCGTACCGGGGCCTTCCCGATAATGCCATATAGGGGTTGTATTGGGCAAGCCATGGTTCAAAAGATAGTCAGGACTTGAACCGACCCCTTTGAACTGGTTTTGAAAAAATAAATAAAACATAAAAAAAGTACTGATATGTCGTATCGGTATGTATCAATATTTAGAACCTTGGAGTGAATAAAAACCAAACCGGTCAGGAGTCCAGTTACCGGTTTGAATGGTCCGACTATTCGACCCGAACGGCTAGCCCGTTCTGACAAAAAAAATAAAAAATGGTCAAAACCGTTCAAACAGTTAACCAGTTGGTTCAGCAATTTGCTGACTAAAATCAACGGTTTTGGGAGAAAACAAAACCGATCTGGTGACCGATTCCCGATTTTTCTGGTTCGACTGTCTGGTTTGGTCCAGTTTTGAAAACCATGATAAAAACATATCAAATCTATACAACTCAAAGATTAAAGTATCAGTATCGGATATCATATCAGATAATTCAGATACGGATATAGATACGGATACACTTTGGAAACGCATGAATACGAATGAAAAGTATGATACACTAGGAAAATACATACAAATTCCGTAAACATATTAATAACACTAAACTTAAAGTTAAAATAGCCACAAATAGTATATAAATACATAAAAATATATATTTTAATTGTATATATAAAGAAATATAATGGGATGCATAGATATCATACAACTTTATGGTAATGCATCAATCAAGAGTCTAAGACACATATTTTGTTATTTTTTATTTAAGTCCAAAGCATAAAACATATACAACCATTATATCTTAATTATTGTATCAATTATATTTTGTTTTACAATTTTTACTTTTTAACATTAACAAAAATTCAACTAAATAAAAAGTTTTTAAATGTTTGGTAAATAATATTGTTATTTTTTTAAACAATAAAGGTGTTATCAAACTTGTTAAAATTTCTAAGATACGTACCATATGAAAATTTATAAATTTTAATTACTAAATTAATTATTCTATTATTAATGTTTTTATTTTTATAATTTTTCTAAAATAAAAATCATTTTTTGATATAAATGTAGGTTAATATATTTGATATATTCAATTTAATATTATATTCTTAAATATTTTGTAAATAATATTTTTATTTTTGTAAATAATAAATATGTTATTTAGTTTAAATTAAAATAATAATTTATAAAAATATATAAAAAATTTAAGATACTTATGATGTGAAAATTTATAAATTTTAAGTACTAAAATAATTATTCTATTATTAATATTTTTTAAATATATTGAGATTAAAAAAAAACATTTTTTGATACTAATGTAGATTTAGATTATTTGTAAAATACCAATTTTGAATATTATTCTTTTTAATTTTTAGTTGGATATATTGATTATAAACATAAGTTATTAGTTCGTAAAGCGCTTAGGGTTCAAATCACGCT